GGCCGCCCTGAATGTGGTCCTGAGCACCCAGAACCGCCCGTGCGTGCCAGGCCGGGGACACAGGCTTCCCCCTGGGTCACGGGGGTAAGGGCCACTCAGCTCCCTTCCCCTGCGCCGTGGCCAGGGACGCCTCCTCCTGGGACGCCTGTGTGTGCCCTTTGGACAGAGGCGCTCCACAGGGACTCAGGGGCCTCCAGGGTCTCAGCAGGAACATCAGGCCATTGTGGGTGGAGTGACGGTTGGAAGAAGAGGGCAGGGGGGAGGGCAGGGGGAGGAATGTTCTAGGCTGGCAGCCCTCTTGGAGCTGAACTATGCCTCCGCTGCCCCTCTGGAGAGGCTGGGAGGGAAACTGAGGCTCTCCAAGGGCGGGCTGGCAAGTCAGAGGAGTCAGTCAGTTTGGGACAAGGACCCAGGCGGCAAAGTCTAACTGCCCTCTGCTCCCCCGCCGAGCCCAGCATGGGGGCCGTGTCCGACGTGACCGCGGCCGGCGTCCTGGGGACCGCAACGCACAACACGGGCATCAGGCACGGCATCATGGCCACGCAGGTGAGTCCGTGCGCTTCGCAGAGCTCCGCGACGGCCAGCGGCGCTCTGGGTGACCAGTGTCCCCCTCCCCCACAAGTAAGGCTAGCTCTCGCCGCCCCCCGTCTCCCCTTCTCCAAACGCGATGTGCCCGCAGACAGCCACGAAGGGGCAGCCCCGTCAGCAGCTGATGCTCCACCTCTGAGGAGCCTCCGGCCGCCTGCGGAAAGGGCAGGCAGGGTGGGGTGCATGTCCCGGGTCTGAGCGGGGAGCCGGGCCAGCAAAGCCCCTTCCAGTCAGCAAGTCGGGGGGCGTCCGGGACAGGACTGGGGCTACCTGAGGCGGAAGGGGCCTGGTGCACACCTGGCCTCCATCAGGCTTCACGGAGTCATCACGGGCACAGGAGAACTGATTGCAGGTGAACCCGGTTTCAAAGCCTACTCCAGCCCCCCTCGGGGATGTGCAGGTGGGGGGTCATTTAACTTCTCAGGACACCCCGGTTCTCAGCCGGGTGCCGTGAGTGAGGCAGCGCGCTACGGCTTCTCCAGCCTGGGCTTGGCAGTGGGGCCTCGCGGGGGGCTGCTCTGTCGCCCCCCAGCCACGTGCTGCCCGCTGCGGCCCGCCTCTGCGCTGGACCCTAAAGTCTGGCACAGCAGCAGCCCCGCGGGTTCTCTCTGCCTGCACCCCCTTGTGTGTGTGGCGCACTCCGGCTACTTCCGTGTGCTCCCCTGGAAAACGGGGGTGATCTCGGGCTTAGGAGACCGGCTGCTTAGAGCCTGTACACAGTTGGCACTGGACAGTGCCAGTGGTGGGTTTTGCACGTAAGCCAAAGCTCACACTGTGTGCCCTCAGCTCACTGGCAGGGAGGGGCGGGGAGTCCAGAGGCGCCTCCTCTCTGCCCCCCAGGCCCTGGCTGGGGGCTCCAGCCACCGTCCCCCACGGCCATGGCCCCCACCTGACCGACGAGGAAACAGGCTGTGACCGTCAGGGGTCACACAGCCGGTGCATTCGGTGCCCGCTCTCCTCCCCCCTGGGCCCTGCCGCCACGCTTCCCGCCAGCCCGGGCCCTGGCAGCGTCCAGTTTGGTGTAAGAATCATCCTGACGCCCTCGCTCCCACAGATGGCCGTCACGCCCCATTTCTGCCAATTTCTGCTCTCTGGTCGTGGTCCCTGGTAATCAGGATTAGCTCAGCTTTATCCACTTTCCCACCCCGAGTGCCCGGCCGCCAGCTACATGTGTCAGAAGCAATTTCCATCCAAATTAGCGGGGATTGAAGTGTGGAGAAGTACTCAGCAGGCGCTGAACGAGGGCCCCTCTGAGAATGGGCCGAGGGGAGACCCAGACCACTGGCGTTTCCAGCTGAGCGACCTCCCTGCTCTGGGCAGGCCCAGAGGCGCTGGTTAGGGAGGCCGGCCAGGAGGATCGCGCTCCTAGGGAGTGGGCCCCCCCGGGAGAATGGGCTTGGAGTGGCCGAGGTGCTGTCCAGAAGGAGCAAGGGGCACAGAGAGGCGGCAGGCCAGGGGCCCAGCTGCAGATCGGGGCAGCGGGCGGGCCCCACTGTGCAGGCGCAAACACCCCTCTTTTGCCGCCACAGGGACTGTCCACCAGCCTCCCGGCTCATCCCAAACCCCTCCGGGTAGAGAGACGCGTTTCCTCGACTGTGGAGCCACGGATGGGCAGGGCGCGGGGGCTCGTGTGCGGGGGGGCCCCCACACGCTCGGGCTGATGCTCCCCTTTGCCCACGTCCATTCTCGGTCCCCCGAAGACTGAGGCCTCTCCAGCTGGTGACCCAGGGGCCAGCTGGAGAAGTTCCCCGGGGCCTGCTGACGGTCACCTTCCGGGAGCAGGGGACCCTGCCCCTGCAGGGTCACGGGAGGGAGCCCCCCGGATCGCAGGACCCGCAGTGTGGTCTTCTCCACCGCCAGGTGGTGGCGCTCACCCTGCTGACGGCTGACGGCACCCTTCTGGAGTGCTCCGAGTCCAGCAACCCGGAGCTGTTCCAGGCCGTGCGGGTTCACCTGGGCTGCCTGGGCGTCGTCACCACCGTCACCCTGCAGTGCGTGCCACAGTTCCACTTACAGGAGACGTCCTTCCCCTCAACCCTGAGAGAGGTACCCTGCTCAGCCCAGGTGGCACATGGGGGGTGTTGAGATGCGGGCTGCGCTGCATCTATTTTTGCACTCCTGTTTGTCTTAGTAAGGACCTGAAATCTGGCAGGTTTCGTGGGGATGTGATGATGATAAGGGTGACGCTGCTGACTGTAATGATGTCAGTGATGCTGATGGATGGTGGCGGTGATGGTGGTGACGGTGGTGGAGTTGGTGATGGAGTTGGTGATGGTATTGGTAGTGGTGGTGGTTGAGGTGGTGACGGTGGTGATGGTGGTGATGGTGGTGGAGGTGGTGATGGTGCTGGGAGTGATGACAGTGATGGCGGAGGAGGAGACGATGATGGTGGTAAAGATGGCGATGATACTGATGCTGATGGTGATGACGGTGACTGGGACGATGATGGTGTTGGTGACGGTACATGATGATCAGTGTGGATAATAGTAGTGGTGGCGGTGGTGTTGATGACAGCCCTACCCGTGTTTCTGACACCACTTTTCAGCCCTTCCTAGGCATTCGGGCATGTAGTCGCCACCACTACCCTGACACGGAGGAGTCCCATTTTACCAATGGGGACCCCAACTTTTGCAGCTGTTGCCCAAACTCATATGGCTAGTAGTTACTCAAGCCTTCCTAAGAAATCATTTCTCTCCTCTGACTACTCAGGGAACCTAGGATGTAAGTCGGCCACGTTCATGTCCATGTACTCTGACATAATCCACCCATGTGGCGATTTCAGGACACTTTTAAGTCTTTTGGGGAAGAGTGGAGGCCTGGCTTCCCAGGGCCCAGCACCGCCCGATGACCAACACAATCTCTTCCTCCCACTGCGGCCAGGTTCTTGATAACCTGGATAGCCACCTGAAGAAGTCCGAGTACTTCCGCTTCCTCTGGTTCCCACACAGTGACAATGTCAGCGTCATCTACCAGGACCACACCACCAAGGTAGCCCTGGCACCAGCCTGTCCTCACACACCCCTCCCGCCCACACCCCCAGCCTGCTGGCACTCGTCCATAGTCATGAGATGTGAGGAGGGGTGAACTCACTGAGCCGGGGTGGGGGTGTAAGGGCCAGGGCCAGTAAAGTCTGGACGGCACCGAGGACAGAAGTGTGGGCAGCACAGAATGGGAGAAAACAGAGTTCCAGGCAGCTGCGCTTGAACTTGGAAACTGTCAGATACAGCTGCCTCCCCCAGCGCCCCCACATTAATTCCCGTCCCTGCAGATGAAGGAAGTCTGTGTGGCTCGGCAAAGTGGATGTTTCCAGCAGGAAGAATCAGGCCATCACTTAAGGTGGACATGGTCAGGCCAAGTCAGGCAGAGGCTGCGACACTCACTGTGCGCAAGGGTGGTGGGGGGGCACGATCTCTGGGCGCCTGGCCTGCGGGCTTTAAGAGTCTGTACATGTATAAAGAAGCATGAAGGAGGCAGGACACCGCCGCTGGCAGTGTCGCTGGGAAGTGTGGCTTCTAATCGTGCTGGCAGGCGGGCTGACCTCTGCCGCACCACGCACAGCTGCTCCTGGCTCACGTGTCCACCTGAAGAGACACTGGGAGGCCAGGCCAGAACGTAGTCAGCTCCGGCCCTGACTGACCACCATTCTGCTTCCCAGCCCCCGTCCTCTGCGGCCAGCTGGTTTTGGGACTACGCTGTAGGGTTTTACCTCCTGGAGTTCCTGCTCTGGATCAGGTAGGAATGCAGAGGCACCGTCCGGGACTGCGGGTGAGTTGTGTCAGATGAAACTCTGACCTGCCAGCACGTAGATTGAGCTGCCTCGGGTGAGAGCTTTTCAGCTTGCCTGCGCATTCAGCTCCCTGGGGGAGTTTTTGGAATCTCTCTGACCCACGGGGGAGGTGGTGAATCTTTTCCTAGTGTCCTGTTTCCTACCTCCTCTTTGGACTGAAATCTGTGCGCATGCTCAGGCCCCTGGCCTGAACTGTTAATGAAGAGAATGCTCCCTGGCACCCTGGGCAGTGACTTTGTACCCAGCCGAGATGTGGGGTGACTTCACATAAACAATGTTAGCTATTGCAAACATACAGGATAGTATAGCAATGCGTATTTAAAATGTCAGTGACGAGCACCCACGTCCCATCTGCTTCAGAAAGGAAACAACACCGGTACCACTGGAGCCCTGGCCTGTTGCCTTGTGCTTCACGCACAGGCGATTCCTAGAAATTCAGAGACGGCAAGTAGAATGGGGTGCCAGGGCTGCAGGAGGCAGAAAGGGGGGCTGTTGTTCAGTGACTGTTTCGAAACTCTAGAGAACCTTCGGATGGTAACGTGAATATACTTAACCCGCTGAACTGTGCTCTTAAAAATGACTGTGGTGGGGCCCTCCCTGGGGGCGCAGCGGGTTACAGCACAGCACTGAGAAGCTGAAGCCGCTTCCGCATGAGTTCGATCCCCGCCTGCCTGGGAGGTGACCCCATGGCGCGGCAGACCTCTCCTGACCCGCCCGCTGCTCCCCTCAGCAGTGGGCTTCGTCAGTTGCCTGTTCTGCTCCCCGCTCTGTCTCTGGGGAAGCTTCTCACCTACTGCGTCTCTGGCTGGTACCCCAGTTCTGTATGAGCAAATAAATAAATCTTTAAAAAAAAAAAAAAAGAGGGCCCTCCCTGGTGGCGCAGCGGGTTAAAGCACAGCACAAAGAAGCTTAAGCCACTTCCGCATGAGTTCGATCCCCGCCTGCCTGGGAGGTGTCCACATGGTGTGGCAGACCCCTCCTGACCCGCCCGCTGCTCCCCTCAGCAGTGGACTTCGTCGATCTGCCTGTTCTGTACCCCACTCTGTCTCTGGTGAATCCTCTCACCCTCCACATCTCTGGCCTGTACCCCAGTTCTGTACGAATAAATAAATAAAATCTTTAAAAAAAATATTAAAAGAAAAAAAGAAAAATGACGGCGGTGGTCAACCTTACATATGCGCTTTGTCACCACAACCAAGACTAGAAACCAGCCTCTCGTTACCAGAGCCGGGAAGCTCATCCCCAGCAGCTGCAGCTGTCGCAAGGGCTGCTTAGCGCTTGAGGGTGGCTGACAGCGAGCCACCTTCTCTGGTGGGGTAGCCCAGCCCCCCAGGACATGCTGAGGTGTAGAAACGGAGGCCCTGGTGTGTATGGAGCTCAGCCCAGTGCCTGGCACACAGCTGGTGATCCCTAAAATCTGGGCACTGTGGTCACTGTCCCTCCCCTCTGCCCACAGCACCTTCCTGCCTGGCCTCGTGCAGTGGATCAACCGCTTCTTCTTCTGGCTCCTGTTCAGCGGGAGGAGGCAACACAGCCACCTCAGCCACAGAGTCTTCACCTACGAGTGCCGCTTCAAGCAGCACGTGCAGGACTGGGCCATCCCCAGGTAGGGGCCAGGCTGGGGCCAGTGCCCGGACCTCCCCTGGCTATGGGGGACAGTATCTAGGAGATCCCCGGGTCCTCACTGCCGCCCCAACAGGCTCCCCTATTGTCAAGGGGCACAGACCCACGCTGGTCCCCCCCGTGCATGGCACCAGCCTTTCTGTTCTTGAAAAACCAGGCTCAGGTCCCCTCCCTTCTCCCCACTGACCCTCTCCAGCCACGAGGCCCGGGGGACAGCTCAGGGGTGGAGCACAGGACCTCCGAGCCAGCTTCCTGTGTCTCTGCAAGACTGTCCCTGAGATCGGCCCTCAGTCCCCACCCAGCATAGAGGCTGGGGAAAGGGGGGGCTGAGGGGAGGGGAGAGGGGAGTACGCCTCATCGGGAGGGGCCCTGGCTACCTCTCAGTCCCAGCTCAGTGTTTGTTCTGAATTGCTGGCTCTTGGTTACCCAGAAGTGGGCCCCGAGCCCATGTGCACAGAGGCTGACACACCATGACACCAGGTCTTAGAAAGAGCTGGACGGAGAGTGGAGTAGCCAGGAGGCAGGATGAAGACTCACATCTGCCTCCATGATTAGGAAGGCAGGGCCGGCGGCTGGCCCTGGGCGGGGAGGGAAGCGTGAGCCTGGCGAGGGGGCTCTAGCGGCCAGAGGACCCTGAGATCCGGGTTCTGCCCCCGGCACTGAGTACAGGGAGAAGACCAAGGAGGCCCTGCTGGCGCTGAAGGCCACCCTGGAGGCCAACCCCAAGATGGTGGCCCACTTCCCCGTGGAGGTGCGTTTCACCCGGGGGGACGACATCCTGCTGAGCCCCTGCTTCCAGAGGGACAGCTGCTACATGAACATCATCATGTACAGGTGAGCGGCCGGGGGTCTTCAGGGACTCCCTCCTTCCCATCTTTCAGCACCGGCTCAAATGCCGCCTTCTCCAGGGAGACCTCCTGGATTTGCGCAGAAAACAGTCTCTTGCCTAGGCTTCTACAGCACTTGTTCTTCGTGCTCTTATGATATGTACTGCTTCTAGACTATATTATGTTAATATAATCACAGAAATTGATACTTGACATTAATGTTTTATAGTAGATATAGATTACATGTGAGCCTGAAATGACCAGTCACCATTTATGAAGCTGAATGACAGATGCATGCCCTGGCAGCTGGAGCTCTGTGCTAGAAGAATCCTGAGGCCAGAAAAGAGGATCAGCGGGCCCCACACAGATGTCCATGCCAGGACTGCACCATCTCCCCTAGCTAGCGACCCTGTCACTGCCAGCCTGAGGCTGGGGACGTGCGGAGTGACCTCCTGCCTCAGATGAGACTTCCTCCCATCCCTCCTTTTGCAACCCCCTTCTCTGCCTTGCAAAAGTAAAACGCACCTCTCCCCGGGCGGACTGCCAGGAGGGTGTCTTCTCAGCAGGCAGAGGCTCCAGCCCCACAGGAGGCCCCGGGCAGTCCACAAGAGCGCTGTCCGGAGGGGTGTCCAGAAAGCCAGGGAGGGCTTCGGAAAGGCAGAGAGAGAAACTGCTTATTTCATGTGGGGACAAGTCTCAGCCCTCGTCTGTCTGTCCGTCTGTCTGGCAATCTCCCCGCCAGTAAAGGTGAATCCAGAACTGGGGGAGTTGCCATTTTTGTAAATTCTGGCTTGGACCTTCTCGTCCCTCAGCCTGGCTGGCTGGGAGGCGAGGATGACCGTGAGGTGCGTGGCCAGGCTTTCCGTTCACTGAATGAGGCCGTGCCGAAAGCCCCAGGCTCTGTCAGACATTCCCGGGGAGCCTACACAGCAGCGAGTGTTCACACAAGTTTCTCTGAAATGCTTCTAACTCATGGGAACTCGCAGGTGCCAGTTAAAAGCTGCAGGAAAGGTGCAGGTGCTGCCATCCTGGTGGCGAGCAGTGAGCAAGAGCCTTTGAGTAGCTGGGTCGTCAATGTCCGTTTCCTGCGGGCAGAACCGCCTTTGACCACTGTGCTGTGCACCAAGGGCCGGGCCAGGCCGGGCTGGGCGAAGGTGCCAGGGAACTGCACCTGGGCAAGTCCTCACCGCCTTCTCTCCCTGCCCCCAGGCCCTACGGCAAGGATGTGCCAAGGCTGGACTACTGGCTGGCCTACGAGACCATCATGAAGAAGGTCGGGGGCAGGCCCCACTGGGCCAAGGTAGGACCCTCAGTGCCCCTGGGCACAGGCAGCAGCTGTGAGCCACAGCTGCCGCCAGAGGGCGCCGCCTCTCTGTTCTGGCTTGGGTGGCTCTGGAACCTGGGGGGCGGGGGGGAGCAGGGTGCCACCTTCCTGCGCAGACCCAGCTTCAGTGCTATTCCTGTCGCCGCCGTCAGTGACTAATTTCCTGAGTTTCCAGAGAAAGCCCTCCTTTTCCACATTTCTTTGATCCTCATAGAAACCTGTGGGCAGGTAAGGTGGGGGTCAGGGAGACCAGGTAGCTGATAGGAAGCGAGGACCACGGGGAGGTGCTGGGACTTGTGCTAATCCTCAGTAGAATGGGGCCAAGCCCTCGGCTGTGGCCCTGGGAACGCGGCTTCCTCACCTTTCTTTTCCGCTTTCTAAGGACGCCCTCCCTTTGCTTGGGTCTCTACATTATGCACATAAGTGCATGTGTGTGTGCCTGTGTGTGCGTCACGTGTGCATCACGTGTGTGCCCTCCTGAGCTGTGCGTGTGCCGGGGTGGGGGCTGCCAGCCAGAGCTCACCTGTTGCTCCGGTCATTCCCACAGGCCCACAACTGCACCCGGAAGGACTTTGAGAAAATGTACCCCGGCTTCTCGAAGTTCTGTGCCATCCGAGAAAAGCTGGACCCCTCCGGCATGTTCCTGAACACATACCTGGAGAAGGTGTTCTACTGACGCCTGGACCCCAGCACCCCCAGGCCCCCTCCCAAGGCTACGGAGATCAGAGCCCCCACCCCTGCCCCTCTGCCCCTGACGTGGTGCCCTGACCCCCATGATGAGCCGGTCCTGGGCAGGGACCCCCTCAACCCCCTGTTTATCCTCACAGCAACTCTAGCAAAGAAGAGACCAGACACCCAAATCCCCCTCACATCTCCATGCAGCACCCCCACCCTATTCCAGTGTCCACGTGCACTTTGTCCTCTTTTCTCAGGAGACAGAGAAGCCCCATGTTTGTCCAGGAAGTCAGGCGTTTGGTCACCTCCTTCACACCCCAACCCCGTTCCAGCAGGGTGCCTGTGGCTTCAGGCGTCCCCTCTCCAGCTGCCGTGGAGGGGCCCCCGACATGCCCTGCCCGAGTGAGGGCCCCGCGCCCTGAGACCCCCCTTCCGAATCCCCCAGCCATCACCCTCTGCCACAGGGGCGCCTGGGCGCTAAGACCCCTCTTGCCTTCTCTTTAATAAAGATCAATTTTGCCTCACTCTCTGCTCCCTCCTTTCCCCTGCAAGGCAATTCTCCGCCTCGGAGGCTCGCGGGGCCCCTGGCTTCCTCTGGAAGTGGCAGTTCTTGTGTTTGCCTGGAAAATGCAGTTCATGTTCCTTCTGCCAACTTGGTTGCAACCTGCCAGACCTGCCCTTTGCCAAGGTCTTTCCTTGCACATGCATTGAGTGCGTACCCGGTGTCCAGGGCTTGGGCAGGAACAGGACCTTAACAGCAGACTGCTAGTGATGTCTGTCCTGGACACACAGCTCACAAGAGTCTTCCCCAGAGTACATGGAAAACAACTCTGCAGGCATGAAAGAAAACTGGCGAAGGGCTTGAGCAGAGGCTTCTCTGAAGACATCGGCTTGCCAGAGCACAGGAAAAGCTCAGGGCCCCGGGCCCCGAGGGACATGCGGGCCCCAGCCACAGTGAAAGAGCGAGCCAGCTTGGCTCTTTGAGGTGCCCTCGAGGGCAGACTTGGGCATATGCTCACGCACGTTCACAGCAGTGTTGCTCACAGTGCTGGGGGTGTCGGGGCAGTGCGGGGTCACCGACTGAGGAAGGTGTGAGTGACTGAGTTCCCTGCCTGTGCATGGCCCCCAGGTCAGTCTTGGGAAATCACAAGCACCAGTTTCTTGAAACCAGTCTAATATAACATAGGTGTTAGTTCTGTTTCTCTAGGAGACTATGACACTTGATAAGGAGAGGGATAGGAGGGTGAAATTAATAAAAAGGAAAGCACAGTGGGTGAAAGCTGAGGCTGTGGAAGACCCACAGGGTCACCTTTTCCTACCAAAGTATGTCGTGCTATATTTTCAGTAGCTTGAATCTAATTTTTAAGATCTCTGAATTTAGCATTCTATTCCACTATGTAATTGTGCATTACACTTTTGAGCAACATTTTACTTCCCAGATCTTTAAAAGACCTTATTGCTCTGGGGTTGTCACGGCTGTGTGGTCTCACTCCTGCTCAAGGCACGGACACCCTTTGTCTGAAACCTGGAGGTTCTAGGAAGCTTCAGTTCCTGGAACACTCAGGCCGAAGAATGTCCTGGAAATAGACTTTCTAATTAACAGAATCCAAATACCCTTCTGGTTCTGGGTTTTCATGAACATAATGTAGTCTCCCATCGGCTTGGAGTCTGTGGGCTCCTGGAGGTCCCCCTTGCCCAGATCCTCGCTGTGGTGCCCTTGATGTGTAACCGAGCCCACACACTGTGGTGCGGAAGCCCCGCTCGTCTGGACCTGCTCTTTAGCCCCCACCCCACCCCTGCTGTCCTGTTCCATGTTCCCAGTGGCCAGTTCTCTCTCCTGGCGCCACGCTAAGGGTCTAAACTTTGAGTACAGGAACCAGCTTCATCCCAGGCAATGCAGCCCTCATGTCAGGACACTTGGGAAATCAGGGTTCAGTGACTTAGAGCCTTGTCCAACACTGGGCAGACCACCAGCAGCATAAGAAGAAATGGAAGGGCAGGAACAGCAGGGAAGATGTCCTCTGGGCCAGTGTGAAGATAAATCACTCAGCTGCTCGGGGCAAAGGTGCACTGGGGATGGGAGGTACAAATTTAGCCTCAGCTTGGCATGGAGGCTGCAGGTGGACCAGCACTCTAGCCCCAGACACAGCCTGGAGGCTCCACTGGTCAATCAGCATTCACATTCAGGAATCAGCATGGCGGTTGCTGAGGTAGGCCAGTACTCTAGCTCCACACTCAGCCTGGAGGCTGGCATGGTCGAGCAGCCCTTCTTTCCCCAGTTCAGCCCCCAGTCAGAGGATGCCAGGGTCGACCAGCACCTCCACCAGGGCTTAGCTGGAGTATCAGGTCTTGACCTAGCACTCTGGCCCCAGGCTCAGCCTGGAAGTTCCCTGGGCCAGGCAGCACCCAGAACCATCATGTGGATTGTGTGGGTCAACCACAGACTCCTTCCCTGGTCTCAGCCTGTAGGCAAATGGGGTTGACCGGTGCTCTGGCCCCAGCCTCAGCCTGGAGGCTTCTGGTGTCATCCAGTGCTCTGGGACCGGGCCCAGCCTGGAATATTCAGGTCTCCACAAGCACTCTGGCCTTGGTTCAGCCTGGAAGATCCCCTGGTCAAGCAGCACTCAGGTCCCGGAATTAGCATGGAATCTGTGGGTAGACCAGCACTTCTTTCCCGGTTTCAGCCTGGAGGTGGCCAAGTTCAGGCTCTTGGTTCAGCCTGAAGGCAGCCATGGTCGATCAACACTCTGGTCTGGAACCATGGTGGAGGCAGCCCTGGGATCAGCCTGGAGGCTGTCGAGATTAGTCAGCACTCCGCACCAGGACTCAGCCTGGTCGACCGACTTCTGCCCAAGTGAAAAGTGCAAATCTCACCAAGCAGAGAAACAGAATAGAAGCCGCTTCTGGCCCTCCCTGGTGGCGCAGCGGGTTAAAGCACAGCACTGAGAAGCTAAAGCCGCTTCCGCATGAGTTCGATCCCCGCCTGCCCCGGAGGTGACCACAGGGCGAGGCAGACCTCTCCTGACCCGCCGGCTGCTCCCCTCAGCAGTGTACTTCGTCGATCTGCCTGTTCTGCTCCCCACTCTGTCTCTGGTGAAGCCTCTCGCCGCCCCTGAGCCTCTGGCCTGTACCCCAGTTCTGTGTGCACAAATAAATAAATCTTTAGAAGCCGCTTCTCCCTGCAGGGGGCCACCGTGCACTGTTCTCAGCAGGGCCAACCCAGAGGCTACATCGCACTCAGAAAGTCTCCCCCAAATGCAAAGGTTTAGGCACCTGAAAATCCCAAGAGAGATGCGACTCTTTCGCACGTAGGTGTCTCTGAATGGGGGAACCCCAAGTTGTCCGGGTCAACCTGGCCACCTGCGTGTCCAGGAGGGAGGAGGCAACGGAGCCCACCAGCCATGTGGGCGCAGCAGCATGAGGGTCCTTCCTGGCAGGCGGCGCCCTGGGTCCTGACCAGGTCTCGGGCTGCCCCCTGGTGGCAGCTGTGGGGACCAGCCTAGGTCCTAGGAGGAAAGTGACACTTTCAGGGAACAGCAGCTGCCAGGCCCTGGTGAGAGGGGACCGGAAACACCCCCAGGGAGGCCGTAGGGTGGGGGTGGGGAGGGAAGGTTTCAAACTTAGAGGGGTGTCTCTGGGCCCCTGTTGAGCACCCATCCCGGGCCAGGCAGTTTCTCTGTTGATTTGGGCAGGGGAAGAGAGAACTGTGGAGACGCGGGGGCAGGCCAGGGCCAGAGGCAGCACCTGAGCCGCGGCGCCCGCCGTGACCTCCTCTTGCGGCCCCCAGGCCTCAGCCCCGTGTCCTTATTTCCACCTGAGCGCCCCGTGCTCCTCAGCCTCCAGGCCGGGGTGTCTGCAGTGACAGGTGCGTTCCCCCGCTCACTCCCACACCAGGTGCAACAAGTCGGCATGGGGGCGGGGCCCCCGGGAAGTAAGCGGAGTCGCAGGTGGGTGGCGGAGGGGTGGGGCAAGAGCCAGCACCCCTGTTCTGTAGCGTGCCCCGCGAGGAAATCCCACCTGCAGGTCTCGGAGGAGGCCGCATCCCTCCCAGGGCGGACGGACCCAGCCCCCAGGGTCCCGGAGAGCTGGGGCCTCCTCGAGGCTGCAAATACTCAAGACCGGCTGCTCTCGGCTCCCTTCCCCCCACGTCTGAACTGTTCAGAGGTCAAAAAACGCCCAGAGGTTGCCCAAAAATTCCATGAGGGAATTTTCCAAATTTTGGGTTTAGTTTTACTTGTTGACATTGACCTCAAACGCAAGCCTTCTGTTCCCAACAGTGAAGAGTTTGCTGGGAACAGGACCCAGAGGCGAGGCTGGCAGGGAGCAGGACACAACCAGCTCCGATGGAACCCCCCAGTCCTACCGCCGTGGGGGGGACTCCTGGGGTGGGCTCGATTGCAGCCCCCTGTCCTGCCCCCACCCCCATCCTCGTCCACATGGGCTCTGAGCATCATGATTGCCGTGCCCAGCACAGCTACCCACTCAGCCAGGCAGCGGGGCTCCAGACCACGGGAGGATGTTTGCAGGGCCACGCCTCCTTGGCCGCAGCGGGGCTGAGGTTTGGAATTTCCATCCTTTCGTGATTCTGGACCGAGAAGTCACTTGCCAAGAGGTGGGGCGTGGGGCGTCTCGGAATTTCCATCCTTTCGTGATTCTGGACCGAGAAGTCACTTGCCAAGAGGTGGGGCGTGGGGCGTCTCCCTCTACGGATCTGAGGCTGGAGTAAGGATTCGCCTGTCACCCCACATCTGTGCTGGGGCCTGGAGAGGGACTGGAAGCCCAGAGTGGGCCGTGGGGCAGCCCCAGGGCCAGCCCAGGGCCACGCTCCCCTGGGCACTGGAGGCCAGGGGCCAGGCAGCAGTGCGGTCCTGGCACCCCGTGCCCAGCGTGAGGTCCCACACCCGACCTTGAAGGGACTGAGGGCATTAAGGAGTCATCCTGGGTGGGGGACAGGAGGCAGTGGGCAAAGGGGGCCCCTCACTTTCTGGGAGGACAGCCCCGGTGGGGGGCCAAGGCTATGTCAGAGCCACAGGGCTGACCACTGGCCGAGTGAAGGCGCCCCCCACTGCAGACCCGAGCCTGCTCCGTGCTGAGGGTGACCCATGTTCTCCTGCCAGAGGACACCAGCCGGGGGCGGGGCGCTGGACAGGCGCTGGAACAGCCTGGCCCCAGCCCAGAACCAGACCTGGTCTCCACCACTCAGCAGTTCCCAGACTGCGAAGAAGCACCGTCACTGCCTCGCCTCTCTGCATGTGGGGGATGCACACGGCTGAGCTGGGCTTCACCCGACAGCAGCCCGCATCCGCGTGCCAGGGCTCCCTGGCACTCGGAGGTGCCCACGGGAATTGAGTTTGCCCCTCCTGGGCCGGCGCATGTCACGCAGCTGGCTCACTGCCTGGCTAATGAGGGTCTGCCCCCACGCCGGTCTGCGTGCAGCGCGGAAGGCCGCCCTCCCCCAACACACGCCGGGCCCTCGGCCCAGACTAAGCGGGAGCGGCGGGCCGGCCGGAGGCTTTGTGGGTGAGGGCCTCCTGCTTGGGCCGGCCCTGCCCGGCCACTGCAGCCGCCTCTCTCCCTGCAGAGGGACCGTGGTTTCCCGGGCCTCCTGCCCTTCAGGGGCTGCTGGGTGCGCGGCACCTGGCTCTTGCTGCACCCCCAGCTGGCAGCCAGGCTCCTGCCCTGTCTGGTTACGTGAATCCTTCCATTTCCTTGAATCCTTCAGTGTGAACCATGACAGCGGCGCCCGGGGATGATGCCAAGGGCTAGCTGGAGATCGGAGAGTGAGGGCTCAGCCAGATGGCCCCTGGCATCCCAGGGCCACCGCAGGGGCTGAGCCCCCCTTGCCAGCCCGCGCCCTTCCCTGCTCCCCGGGACCACAGAGAAGGGCCCACAGCCCCTTCCTGGGAACGGCCGGTGGTGTTTACCAGCCAGCCTGCTTTCCTGGCCGGGTGACACTGGGCGGCGGAGCACTCCAGGAGACCTCTGTGATCTCAAGTCACCCCTGCCTTGACGGTAATAGTGGGGACCTGGGAGGGTAGAGCACCCACCGCCTTGCTACGTGGCCAGCACTTGTGCCTTGGGCGCCCGGGCTTGCTGGCCACAGGGCACACACATGCAGGGCGCAACTCCAGGCCCTTCCACGTTGCAACGCCGAGGGGTTGCTTAGTCCCAGCCATCTGCCAAGGCCATCGGTGCGACACGGGGGCTGGCAGCGGGGTCGCTGCCCCTGGGTAGGCAGAGGCCACGCAGGCCTGCCTCCACGAACTGCAGGCCCCAGCCAGACGCCACGTCCCAGCATGCCTCGCCGCCCCCCAACCGCTTTGTCCCCACAAAGTGGCGGTCTCCCAGCCTGCCTCAATCTGCCCAGTGCCTCAGGCTGGACTTCTGTTGGGGCCAGAGGAACCCCACAAACCAGGGCCCTGTGCAAAGGGAGGAAGGGAATGGGGAGAAGGGGCCCCAGGAATCCTAAAGGCAGCTGCAGGAGCTGCACCAGAGGACTTGGAAGTGGCTTAACTCTGACTTTCTGCTTAGCAGAGTCAGACCGGCTCTCTGGGTTTCCTGGCCAGCAGATCTCCTGCGCTAGCTCCTTGAAGCCAGCCAAGCATTTGAGTTTGCTGCATGTGGAAAGGAGCTTATAACTTACAAGAGAGACAAAGGCCGTGGCCTGAGGATATGCCAAGTGTTTAATTTACAAGTAGACTTTGCTATAAATCTGGGAAGCAGCCAGATTTTTTTTTTTTTTCATTTGAGTTATGGTTGATGAACAAGTATATCAAATGGAGAGACTGCAGTGAAGGATGCGAGGGGTTGTCAGCCCCCTGCTGGCAGAAGCCGGTACTGCACGCAGCGGGACTACACTTCAGTCTCATTTATAATTGGGGACAGTAAATTCCTCCCTCTGGAAAAACGCAAACAGAGGAGAAATTCCTGTGGCTGAGGATCAGAGATGTGGTCTGCAAGGGCCTACAGTGGGCAGGCAAGAGTTTCAAGTTCTTACAACTAAAAAGAAAATGATCTCATTTTGTCCTTTTTTGTCTTTTGGGGACTCCATTTTCCAGAAGGAAAATATCCATGGTTTATTAATAATAAGGAATAAGTATGGCTTATTATTATGCCCTCCTTCCCCTAATTTTCAATGCATTCTCTCCAGAATGCCCCACCCCAGCCAGAACACAGGCAGCTTTATAATTACAGGGAAAAGATCCGCTTCTCAGAATTCCCCTGTGTAGACAGTGGGACACACCTCTCTTCCTAACAGCAAGAGACCTTGGAACTGACCGACGTCGTCATCACACTCCTTGTATTCTCAACTACGTGATGCCCTGTTGGGGGCTCCCAGCCCGCATGCAACACAAGCGGCTCTCAGCAGGGTGCGGTGCGGGTGAATCCACCTGGACTCCGACTCTAGTGGAGTTCAGGGCCGATTGCAGAGGGCCCGGCTGCCCCCAGGGCTCCCTCCCAGGTCGGGCCCTGCCACCAAGGCCTCCCTCCCCAACACCAGCCACGGCCCAGCCTGTGCCTCTAGCAGAGATGGGGTGTGTGTGTGTGCACGCGCGTGTGCACACGGCGGGGTGGGGGCCTCCCCACCTCTGCTCAGGGCCAGTTCATCTGCCAGAGCTCACACGCCTCAGGACAGCGCGTCTCCTAGGCCACCACTTTGCCCAAAGGATAGGAATCCACAGCCAGCTGAGGAGATGCCCTCCCCGGGCCCCCGTGTCCCTCACCCGAAGCTCTCCAGACCCTTCCTCTCTGGAGGCCGATTATCCAGGCAGGACGGCCAGGTCAGACTGTCCAGCCCTCCCCTCCCGGCCCCCAAGTCACGGGGTGGGCCCTCCAGACACCGCACCCCATCCTGAGGTGCCTCCCCCAGCCCCCTCGTGGCCTGACACCCCTTCGCCCCTCTCAATCTCTCGAGGGCTTAACGCCCGCCGGGAGGGGGCACGGGGCTGGAGCCCCGCTGTGCGTGACCAGCCGACGCCGGTCACCTGTGCGACCAGATGGATGCCGCTGCTCATTCACCCCAACAGTGCGCTGTCCCTCGCTGCCTTTTCTTCCTACTCTCTCACCCCCAAAGCACGACGCAGGTATGGGACGCAGGACACCCCGCAGAAAGAGGACGCCGGTGCGTTCAGATGACAAGCAGCTTTATTGGGTTAGTGGCCGGCGGGGGGGGGGCCTCCCCCCCAGCGCGTGGGCGTTAGTGGGTCCCGCAGCCGGGGAGGGGCTGGGGCGGGGCGGGCCCGGTGACATGCGGTGCTCTCAGCGGCCTCTCAGCTCACTCCTCCCTGCAAGCAAGACGGGAGAGGGGCTGGGTGTCCAGGAAGGCAGCCGCCGCCCTTGACGCTCGCGGCCAGAAGGCCCAGCCCCGGGCACGACTCATGTCCCCCTGTCGCCTGGCCGGGGCCGGCCGGGCAGGGGGGCCGGGAGACCCACGCTCACCAGTTGTTCCGGCGATATTCGTGCAGCGCTTTCTCCGCCACGGTCTCCATGAACTTGGGGTCGTTCCTGGACACTTCCTCGGGGACCGTCACCATGATGGGAGGGGAGTCGAACAGCTTCACCACCACCTTAGTGATGCCAGTGGGAATGTCGGCGTCCGAGGAGTGGGAATTCACCTGGAAGGGGTGGGGTGTCACAGCCTCGACTCAGCGTCTGGCGGCCCCCGGGGCGGGGGGAGCAGGGCAAACGCCACCTGGGGGTGCCCACCCGCCAGGAGCCCCGGAGACTAGGCGGGAGCCCCCGAAGGTTTCCGCTGGGCGCCAGGGGTTGCTGCGGGAGAAAGGAGCAGGCGAGGCCCCAGCCCGGCAGCAGCTCTCCCAGGACGCAGAGGCCGCTCTGCCACCAGCCAGGCGCTGACCGACGCCCCTCCCCAGGTCCCCGCCCCGCCCTCCCCCTTCACCTCCCTGACGGCTGCCAGCATGGACACAAGTGCTTTCACGTGCTGTCCCCGGCGAGCGCTGGGCCAGGCCCTCGGAGGGCTCCCCCGGTGCCCCCCGGGGCCCCAGCGCATGGCCCCGCTCACCGTGGTGACCTGCAGGTAGTCCAGGTCCTCGCCCTGCGTGAGGTTGGCCAGGCGGGACACCCAGCTGAACTGCTGGTTGAGCCGCTTCAGCAGCGAGGACGTGTTGAGCATCTTCTGCTGGTAGGACCGCAGCAGCTCGTCGTACAGCTGGGAGAACCTCTCGGCCAGCTGCAGCGACGCGTTCAGCTCCTGGCGCAGCAGGGCCTGCTCGGGGTTCTCGGCGGAGCAGTCTGAGGGAGGACAGCAGGTGGGGACGGGCGGGGAGGGGGCGGGCGAGGGGCAGAAGCGCCCGTGAAAATCAGGCAGCCCCAAGGAGGGGCTGAGCTGGGGGTGGGGGGGTCACGTGGGGGTGGGGAGGGAGGGATGGGCCCCTCGGAGGCCGCGGCTTCACCTTGGGGCGCAGGGCCCTCCCCTGGGGTAGCTTGGATCTGGGGGCTCAGCCTGGACTCGCGCCCCCTGCCGGGGGTCCCTCTGGAGCGAGGGAAGGTTACAGCCGCCTGCCTGGGCCGCCGTGGCAGAGGGAGCCTGCGGAGCTCCCTCTCTGCCCACAGTGAAACGGAGGCCCCAGGAGGTAAACTGCTTTCTTAAAGCCACACCACGAGGCCACACCACGAGGCCTGGCCTCAGGGCCGAACCCGGGACTTGAGTCTTAAACCTAGGCTCTGCTCCTCCGGGCCTGTGGTTCTGGAAAGTTCTCCAAGTGTGTCTTTGCAGCGTGGCTAGCTGCAGGCTCACTCAGGCGAGCTGAGACCCGCGTCAGAGAGACGGTGCTGGACACCGTGGCCGCCCCAGCCTCCGTCCCGGCCTGGGCCGGGTGACCGACTCTCGCAGGTGGTTCACGGTGACTCGCGCTCCTTCCGGGTGCTGCCTCGGGCCAAGAGGCCAGGTGTGCGCTCACCTGCACGTCTTCCGCCACCGGCCTCCGCCAGGGCTGGGGCTTAGCCTACGGAGGCTACTATGGGACGAGGCCAGCAGCGGCCACGGGACTCTGCGGGCCTGCCCTGGCCCGGCGAGAGACGGGCTCGGGACAGACCAGCTCTTCAGGGAGGACAGGGCCTCCTCCTGCCTGAGCCGGCGTGTCCCAGACGCCGCCAGAGCTTGGACAGCAGCTAGTCGATGGCCAGACGGGAACTACCGCGGGGGCCAGCTGCAGGGAAGTCTCCCCTGGGTTTCGGGGCCGGCCAGTCAGAGGAGCCACTGCGGGCGCCCTGGGCCGCGGGCCAGACTCACGAGCCCGGCGAGGGGAGAGCCGCCGCACGCCGGCTTAGTGAGAATCGCAGCAGCCCGAGTGCAGGGCGAGTCAGCCGGGGACAGCCCTGCCGCTTCAGGGGCCCACTGGCCAGCCGGGGAGGACCCGCCCGCACGGCGGCTGCATGGACACAGGGCCGGACTAGCTGCTGCTGGCCGCCTGCCCCCCAGGGCGCCCCAGGGGCTCCCGGGACCCAAGCTGCCGACTCACCCACGGCCAAGATCTCCTGGCACTTGTCACACTGATCCTTCATCCGCAGGCAGCCGGTGGAGTTGTGGCGGATCTCCTTGCACACGGTGCGGTCATCGGCGTGGCCAGGGGTGTCCTCTGGAGGCGGGAGGGGGAGGGCGTCGGGGGACGGTCACGAGCAAGCAGAGGGGGCCCCTCCCTGAGCCCGCCGCACCACTGTCCACCCCGGCCCAGACCCCAGTTCACGTCCTGAGCTGGCGCTGACGCAGGCAGCACTTGTCTGGGTTATATGCAAGGCACCCCCCACTCCCGAGGGAGGGCGCTGCCCCCGCTGCTGGGAGATGGAGCGGACAGTCCGCGAGGTGGCTGCGAGAGCTCGGACGCTCCCTCCCCGCAGCCAGAGCCCCCCCCTCGGTGGGGGTGCACCCCAGGGCTGCTGGGGGCACAGAAGTGCAGGCGCCCGAACGCCCAGCACAGTCCGAGCCCTGCCGGGTCCCGCCCGACAGGAAGAACGAGGCGCCTAACCGAGCTCGGCCATGGGGAACTGGTAAGGCACGCTGTGCAGGTGGGCCTCCATGGCCTGCTGGGCCTGGCGGATCATCTCAAAGAAGGGCTGGAACATGTCCTCGAAGTGCAGGGGCTGGAAGGCGCGGAAGGGCACTATGTCCCGGGCGAAGCGGGACCTGGGACTGAAGGAGAACGACCTCCGGGGCGGGGAGGCGAAGGGGAAGAACAGGCGGGGGTCCTGGAGCCCCCGGCCGTGGAAGCGGTCCTGGAAGAGCTCGTCCATGATGCTGGACGCCCGGTCGAAGCTGTCCTGCATGGTGCCCAGCACGTGCGTCTGCTGGCGGTCGTTCTCCAGCAGGGAGTCGATGCGGTCGCCGTTCACCCACAGGTAGACGGGCGAGCTCTGGTTCAGGAACTCCTCCAGCTGTGGCCAGAGCGCGGCGTGAGGGCCGGCCACAGGCGGCGGCCAGCCTCCTGCCGCTGCGCCGGAGCCGATCCCTCCCCGGGCCGGTCAGGGCGGCGCCCGTCCGTTCTCACGGCCCAGGAGCCCCCGACACCCCCAGGCCGGTTCTGCGAGCCTCGGGCATTCCCAGTCAACAGTGGCACACACGGCCCCAAAGGCGGAGGGCGCCTGGCCTGGGGGTGGGGGGCCGTCTCCTCCAGCTCTCCTCGGCCCGCTCAGCGCCCAGGCGCGGCCGAGGCCGCTGGGCCCTGCTCACCTGACGGCCAACCAGCCCCGAGCCGCTCCTGCAGACGCGCGCGTAGAACTTCATGCAGGTCTGCTTCAGGCAGGGCTTGCACTCCTCCCACAGGGCGGCCATGGTCTCGTTGCAGACGCCCTGGGACTCCTTCAGCTTCAGCTCCGACTCCTTGGTGTCGTTCAGAGCGCCCTGCGGGAGCGACGGGCGGGCCGCTCAGGGCACAGCCGCCCTCCGCCGCCAGCCATCGGCCCCAGCTCACGGCCTGGTCACCCCCC